CAAGGGCCCTCTTCCCGGCCAGACCGCCGAGAACCCGAACGAGCTACCTCGCCCCTACAAGTGTCCCTTGTGCGATAAGGCCTTCCACCGCCTCGAGCACCAGACGAGACACATCCGCACTCACACCGGAGAGAAGCCTCATGCTTGCCAGTACCCTGGCTGCAGCAAGAAGTTCTCCCGCTCAGACGAGCTCACCCGCCACTCAAGAATACATAGCAACCCCAACTCAAGGAGAGGCAAGAACCAGTACAACTCTGGCCCTCAGTCACATATTCCCCAAGATGGCATGATGGCTCCTCCCCCCGCTCCCAAGACGATTCGATCTGCACCCACTTCGAGCTTGTCTTCACCCAACGTCTCGCCGCCGCACTCTTTCTCCCAGTACGTCTTGCCCGCTCACCCTGTACACGGCAGCCCCTTTAGCCGCCAGATGCAGGGCCAATCCAACATGGACATCTCCATACTGGCAAAGGCTGCCAACCAGGTCGAGCGCGAGACGCTCACCGCACCGCCTTTCCACGGCTCTTCTGCTAGGCATCACCCGTACTACTCTCACAGCCTGCACAACTCTCGCGGCCACCTCCCCTCCCTATCAGCTTACCACATGTCGAGATCGCACTCCAACGACGAGCACAACGATGACCACTACGCTGGTTCTCGCCACGCAAAGCGATCTCGCCCTAATTCACCTAACTCCACGGCACCCTCCTCTCCTACCTTCTCACACGACTCCTTGTCACCTACTCCGGACCACACTCCCATCGCCACACCCGCTCATTCCCCGAGGCTTCGGCCCATGGGCTACGAGCTGCCCTCTCTTCGCAACCTTTCGCTACAGCACGCGGCTCCTCCTGCTTTGGCTCCTCTCGAGCCTCACCTGGAGACGCCATACCTGCCCCCTCCTCCCGCGCCTACCAGCGCCGGAACTCCCACTCGCAACGGCGCCTCCCTGGCGGACATCATCAGCCGGCCTGACGCAGGCAGGAAACTGCCAGTTCCCAAGATTGGTGTTCACCAACTCCTGGACGGAAACGACGGCTTCCAGAGCGGAAGAAGTTCCACCACCGGCAGCGTCGCCGGCGGTGACCTCATGGATCGGATGTAACGGGAACTGATAACTGAAAGTGGCATGACCTGACGACCTGGGCAATAGACGGGATAGACGAACAATGGCGTTTTCGGGTATTTTCGAATTGGCAGAGTTGGCCGACCACGACTTCTTTATCTAATCACGAGACAACAATTCAACCAAAGAAGCGATGGGCTCCTCTTCCACAGCGGCGGTCACACTCAATTTTATAGACTCACTCCCACCTCGGCGGCCGAAGAACCAGAGATTGGACGCTACGACTCATCACCTCTCACCAACAACGAAAAGCAAAACCTATTTTTCCTCTGTCTTTTTCCTCTCCTCTTTCTTGTGTGTGTGAAGGATATAGGGACCTAGTGAGTGTGTGTGTATATGGGAACGTCAACGGGTCGTCACAACCCGTCCTTTCTCATCTGTGTCATGGGTTTGCTTGTATTGGCGACGGGGCGGAGACAAACCAAGATATCAACCTATAGACGGCGGGAACAAATTATGGCGGTGTATAAGAGAGTTCTACTCTTGGCGGATTCGGGACTTATCGGCGGTTTTTGTTTTTACAAGCGCAGAGACAGCGCTGACACCTAGTCTATTGGTTTTTTTATGTTGGCTTTACTATACGATGAACGTCGCCGCCTAGGCTGGCTGGACGAAAGCTTATTTCTTTACACTGTTCCTAGAAAGAGATAACTCGATAAACCTCGACAAGACTCGAGAATGAGAATCCAAACAACCACACCACCCCCAAAAATTGCCAGCGTTTACTCGCCTTTTGAATCTAGTACTTAAAACGGTCTCTATCTGCGTGTTGCTGGATAGGGTCTCAAACGTGGACTGATAAATTCCTTGTGTTTGCAATGTGTATCTGCAATGTGTGTATGCGAAGTGCATCTGGGGTGTGACCAAGAACCAACCCACCCACACAACCCGCACACTGATGATCGGACCCGTGCCCAGGCGGCCGTTTGTTTGGGGATATTTTTTTCTTCGTAGTGATGAGCGCAGAAACGGGATGTGTTGAAAAGGGGGGAGGGTGTGGTGTGGTGGTGTCCGGGGTTCGCGGGCGCTGCGCGGGCGTTTCCCTCCATCACTCCCTTCCTCCCCCCGTCCACCCCACACACTTCTTATAGAGGTATGACGCCGTACGTAATCTGCGCGACTTGCGACTTGCAGGCGGGAGTGATGAGTAACTAAGTAGATGGAACCTCTCGTCCCCAAATCCCCGTCCCCCCCCACAATCGGGTTTGCTCATATCTGTGGGGATTATCAAAAGGCGCAATGATGGATCTGGAGTAATGCAGGCAGTATCATGTACAGTACTTTGAAATATGAATAACTTTGGGCTTCCAGACTTTTCCAGGGGTGGTGGCTGCGTGCGTGCTAGAGATTATTATAGGTAGGTGGGGGGGGCAGACCACACACACTAGGCGCAGGTCTGGGGAATGGGGACACATTTGGGATAAGGGATTTTCCTCCTCCTCTCTCTATCCGTGTGTACTGCCGCCGTATAGCCCTCTCTCCCCCGCCTCGTCGCCGGGGTTTGTGGAACGTTTGATGGAATTCCTCGACTAAACTATATGACTAAGTAACAAATGAGAGTTTGAAGAAAAATGGAAAATGGAAACTGCTCGGCATCGTTCAGGGACAGATACAAAGTACTTCGTACATGTTCAGTACACACACACCCTTTCCAAAAGGCAAAGCAGGAAGGACATCAGGTATTGAATCTTGATCCGCCTATTCCGCAGGGCTTTTTGTTTGCCCTCTCTGTGTGTGTGTGTGATGGAAGGAGGAAGGACAACGGAGCAACTTTCAATTCATTACGCGAAGTTAGAAAGTGTAGGTGAGGACATTTGCGCAGTGTGAACTTTACTCTCCTTGCTCCAACGAACATGAAGCCTGGGGAGGCAGTTCATACGAACATGGAACAGATCTCCAGCTCCAGCCGGCTCCATTCGAAAGGAGAGGGGGGAAAATATGTTTTGGTTGGTGTTATTTGTATTTGTCCCATCTAGGCGCTATCTTTCATGTAGCTCTTTTTCGTTTCTTGGCGCCATGTCGTTCCATGGCTGGGGGGTTGGTGGACTTGTCAACCAGACACGGCGGTTAACTGACACGCGCACATTCGAGTGAATATACACGCCCCCATGTCTCCAGACACCACCTACCCCTTTGGATCGTCGGTCCTCGTACATACACGTACTGGCTGGCTGTCATTCAGCGGATAGATACGGATATTTGATCAAAAGTATCCGCAGTCTGTAGAAAAAGCACCTGCATCCAACGATGCATCATCCATCTGCCTGCCGGATTCACTCCAAGCGCCTTCCCCGGAATCTCAGCACCCCGGGATGTGCTGCTCATCGTTCGACATCGTCAACACCTTTGATTGTCCTTCCCCGACTCATGAACGCCAGTAGATCCCGATCGGCCGAGACCCATGAAGAAGATGGGTATCATGGAAATCCAACACTAGAGAGAGAGAGAGAGAGAACGGGATCCGCGAGACCCCGTTCTGCCCGTCAACTACGTCAAACGGGGTGGACGGAGGAGAGGAGAGGGACCAATTTGACTGTCGTGCCATATCTCGGCCAAACCCAAAGCCCCATGCCAACTTGAACGAACATTTCGATAAGCCTGATGGAATGATGCGCCGGTGTGGAGTTTCGGTACAGGTGCAAGAGTCAGTTCCCCTGGGACCCTCAGCAAATAGACAACCCATTTCATGCCACCCCTCCGGCTCTCGAGCTCTGTTCCCTACCCTACATATTTTCCCCATCCTATCCAGAATTCAGGAGAGAGAGAGAAGGAAAAAAGGGCTGGAGCGAACGGCATTACGTATTTCTCTGGGTGATGATATCACACCCTGCCCCACTGTCCCTGGCATGAAGGCGTTGCGTTGGCACCGACTCCGACACTTTGCCTGGTTTCCGTGGGGTAAGAAGAAGAAACGAAGAGAGGAAATTCGAGTAACAACTCCATATGATCTTCACAGCCAGGAGGATTTTGTTTTCTTCTTGCTTCCCCCTCCCCCACTAGCGCCCTGTGTATATCAGATCATTGCGACGACACAAGCAAACGTTCTCGGCCAAGAATAGCATGATCCGGAGCCTGCGGATGACGCTCTGTGCAACAGAGGAGGGGCCAAAAGGGGGCGCGGCCAAGAAAGTGACATTCAACATTCCGTAAAGTGCTAGTTTCAAACGGAGGCCGCTTAATGATGACTCAGAAAATAACACTGCCATTTTCCCCGTACTATGGCGGGGGGACATGGTGTGGGCTAGCTTTCTGGGGATGGTTGCTTTTTGCCGTATCCCATTTTCGGCCACCAAAGGGTGGTGGGCTCGGTAGTTGGGTAGCGAGATGCTGTTGGGCCAGGAACGTAACTCGTAACTCCTCCGACTCATCAAAAGTCAGCTTCTTCGATTTGTGCACCGAAAGAGTAGCAGACTTCAAGATATTTCTGCGCAACTCGGACTGCTGGGAGATTGCGTTGCAGTTCCTTTCCGTCCCTCTGCTCGGACGATGACAACTCCGGCCGGATTATGCCCCAAGGTTTTGGGCTGAGTCGCTGAATGCCGCCCACTTGTTGTCGGATTCACGAGTGAGTCAAGGCACATGCAAACTGCCAGTCTTTCCCTCCCTCGCGCAGCTGAGGCAGCACGCGAGCCACATCGCCAGCCAGAGTCTTTGAGCCAGGTCCGGTGGAGGTCGCATTTACGAGAAGACTCGTCACATGCGAGAGCGCCAGCCGTGACTTGTTCATCGGGTACTGGCATACCTACCTACCAGCCCTTCTTCGCAACTGCTGGCACACCGCCACATCCGACAACATAGAACAGACGTATAGGTCTGGTTTCGGGCGCGGTGCAACGATGGCGTTTGGCGGTCGCAATGTGTCCTTTTGAGCAGGTTCCAGGAGGCGTACACCGAGCGCAGGGCGGTCAATGGTGTTATCTTCGGCATCGTTAATGGAAATCTAAAGAAGAAAACGTGTGTCTGTTGTGTCTCTTCTGCGCACCTCCAAATGGCTGCTTCGATGCGCACGACTCTCGTCTACGCTTGTCTCTCAGAACAGAAAAATCAAGGCCACGCGTACGTGATTTGCCTGCCTATTCCCTCACCGCCAGGACATCTTGAAGCGATAGGCCAAATTGGACACACACTGATACACGGGATGGTGTGGTAGACGCAGTCTTCTTTCTCATAGAGGATGGGCTTCACGGTACGTACAACCTTGGACGATGGGCGTGGTGAATTTGAAAATCGATCACCAAAGCCACGGAGCAGGTTGCAGGTGGTGTGGAGACTGTGGGAATCTGGGGGATAGCGGCAAGGCGTCTTTGGCCCACTTGGAAGGCGTTCCGATTCGAAGAGCCTTGAGATGGAATTGCTGTTCGAGACAGCGCATTCGGGCGAGGCCGCCCTTCGAAGCGTTTGCGCACTGTCTCTTGCCGTGTGTGTTCAAGCGGCCAATGCTCCCGGGGAAGGGCGGAAGATTGGCGAGTGCGGGAGAGAACAGATAAGACATGAAGCGGATATCTAGGTGAGAGCTAAGACAGCCAGTTCGAAGAGATGTATTCAAGTCTTGGGAAGAAACCTGGGTTGCGCTGGCTTGTGACACCGCTGGCTTGATGATTTGCTTTTTAGTGACGGCCTGACGCTCATATGGCGCCTCCAGAAGGATGGAAAAGTCGGACAGAGCTAGCACTTCTCGGTGATATATTCGTTGGTTTGTCTCCAGGCGGTCAGGTACTTTGCTCGATGAGCTTGTTGAAACAAGATCTCAGAGTTGAGACACCCTCGCGGGCGCTTAGGCAAAAGAGTGGTGACATTCTTTCCTCTTGATCGTTCCGCCTGACGCTGACCCGAGGACTGGGGCCATGGTGTGATGGCGCTATTCTTCGCCTCCAACAGACCACATGTGCTAACTTCATGGGCGGGAGGGCCAGCTGAGACGACAAGTCAACGTATCCTTCTTTCTCTCGACTTGGTCAAGCCTCCCGGGTTGTGAGAAGAGGGTGTAGCAATGTGTCGCGGTTGCAGGGAGAAGCAAGCCATGCTGACCAACATGTGGGGGCATCTGGTTGTTAACTCCTCAGGGCGCAGAATCTCATCGACGAGGCAGGTAAGCGAAGCAGAGATGATAGGAGATTCAGCGCCTGTCCGATTGCACGTGGCGCATGACTTGGTTCTCACTCCCGGCCTACTTTCTTCAATATGTCATAACTGGTGCTGCGCTGCTCAGGCTTGTGCTCTCCGAAACTCGGGTTTTGTCGAAGGCCACATCCCGATTGCGCCCGAAGCTGCTCTTATCGTAACTCCGAAGGACATGTGGCTGGTTCCATCTTGCTTTCTTCGGCATTGTGATTAACCATCATCCTCTTGCACACCCACACTCTTCAGGCGGCGCAGGCAGCAGGCTGGTGTGTCGGCGCTGTGTGAGCCCCCCACGAGCTGCCCCACCAAATTTACCCCGGTATCTAAAGCGCGTTTTGACGTCGTTTTATGGAGTTGTGGGGGGAAGGCGTGCTCTCATGCAACCTTGTTGGGACAGCCGGAATCTTGCGCCAGAGTGGACGATAAGCAACCAGATCCATCCATGGATCTCTTCAATGACGCAGCTGCCCCATCCAAGTTGTTCCAGACAACAACACGGATTCAATACCTATCCGACGAAGACACGCCCAAATTCTGTCCTTTTGGCCTCTCACACAGGCTGAGCCGTTGTTTCGTGCCGTGGGCTCGACCATGCTTGCTGACAGTTCAGCATGCCCCGTGTCAACCAGCCTTTTCCGCTGTATGTCAGCGAGCCAGGGCCTCGGTATGTCGTTGACTGGCTGAAGGTCAAATTAGGACCCTCCCTGGATTGAGGCGAAGCTGAAGCATGTCCTGTCCTATCCGATCATTCTCCATGCCGTCAATCCGCGGGGTTGGAAACCAACCAAGTTGCTTTCCTCGCACCAAGCAAGCGCTGTCTTCGGGGCGTGAGATCCTAGGTGAAGGTTTCGCCCGTAACTCCCGCTTGATCCAATAACTTGTCGAACATGTTTCCCTGTCCGGCAATCCGTGACTGGTTAGCACAATAGCCTTTTCCTGCCGTTGACGTAGTAACTAAGCTATTAACATGCCGCGACAACACAAAACATGGCTGTATCTCGGCATCACTCTCAGGCGCCATCCCTCCGCTGTGCTCCGGGAGCTCGAAGCGGGCTCATGCTCAGATCGAAGTCATGGTGCGACAGGATCGGCAAGACGAGCTGGCGCTCTTGTGCTCTGGATTACAGCAGTTTTCTGTATAGAGTAGGCATATCGAGTAGCTCGCATATTGCGAATACCATCCGCCGCCAAAGCCCATTGTGCAAATTGCCTAATAGAGTGTGGAGGAGAGTAACGGTACGTTTGTTATCGACTGCCCAGCAAGCCTACGTTTGGGGAAATGGGGATTTGGCAACCTTCTGAAGGCCTGGATGCTGCCAATTTGGCGCAGAGCGTAGTCATTTTGACAGTTTTAGCTTTATCGCTTGTCGATCGGGACTTTGGCAAATACTCTACCGTTATCCCAGGCGGTTGCAGATAATGACAGCCAGCGATGCCCTAGCGCTACCATAGTGTACACATTGTAGGACGAGGAATGGTCTTCTCAACGGGTACGTAGCGGGAGTTTGATCCTCCGAGATGGACCACGGGTCCGAAGCCACGTTTATTACGTTTTATTGAGACAACTTGGAGGATGTGTGGTCTGCATACCAGTCGTTCAGGCGCGGTTGGCCCCTAGGGACGTAATCTTCCGCCATCAGGGTTAACGCCAGAGGTCTTCTGACTATCATCATGGGCCGTGGCAATTGGCTATGTCCCGAAGAGTTGGCGATACCAGACATCTGGCAGCTCATGTCGACATGCGAAGCCGGCATGAGTCGCTGTGATTGGAGCGCCAGTTTGGCCATGGGTTGACTGTAGTGACAGATGGTGCGCGCTGTGGTTCGGATTGGCGGCCGCTGTATCTAAACTTTCGCAATCCAAATGGCGAATCAACCGTTCCAGGCCAAAGATACCCCCGCATCCTGCCCAATCGCGCGAGCCAGGTTCTACCCCGGCGATGCCATTGACATGCCTCAAACGATGAAGAGGTGCTGGTAGGTAGTTGGTTGACAGTTCTCCGACCTAGTGTACGGGTAATAAACGTTGACGGCGGGTAAATGTGCAGCGACCGGAGAAGCGGGACGAAGGCTGGTTTGGTAAGGTACCGGCTGAAAAGGTTCGAGGAACTGTGTTTCTGCGCTGCTTATTGATAATGATCGGGAACAAAGCCAGGATTGACACAGACGAGGGCCAGGAATTGACAAAATGGCGCGAAACACGGGGGGAAGAACCGGAACGGTATCCGAATAGTCGATTCTGGCGTTCTCAGATTCAACCCCTTGCAGGCCGTCAAGGCTGCCGAGATGCACAAGCAGTTTGTGTTTCATTGTGCTCAGGGACGGTTTGCTCGCCTCCCGTGCGTGCATGATTCCGTCTGTTGCGGGCAAGACTGTTGAGACCCTGAATGGAGTCGAGGAGGACGATGCAACGTCCAGTCCCCAAAGAAACACCCCCGCTGGGCTGTTCCCCCTTTGGGCAATCCGAATGAAGTGGGGGGCCTTGACGAAGGAGCCTAGGAGCCTCCGGCCCTCCAGAGTCCAGAGTCCAGAGATAGGCAAGCACCTCCCGAATCTCCCTGTCCCGGTGGTCGGTGGAAGCCGAATCAGGAGAAACGGAGGGTAAATTCCGTCAATCAGCAACGGTGAATGGCGAAAAGCGAAAGGTGCCAGGCCTGTGGCACCATCTTTTCACGGCGGCCCCGGTCCGTTCTAGGGGAATGAGCTGGGGAAGCAGGGAGCGGAGGGGGAGACACGACTGGACTGACAAGGGGAGGGGGCGTGTGGAGGATGGGGAAGGAAGGATCTGGGAGGTGCAGCCGGTTGGGATAGCAGACACGGCAGGATCTGGGAGGCTCCCTCCTCAGACGGGTTGACCTTATCTGTGGGGAAACATCGAAAGATGTTCCCCAAGCGGGCACAGGCGGATCCTGACCTGGTGAAGTGGTGGGGAGTGGCTGAGTGGGTCACTGGCCACCCGAGGTAGGTGGGTAGGTAGGGCGTGGCTTCCCCGTTCTTTCCATTTCCCTGCCCGGCTTGGATTGGGAACCGAATCCCGGCTCCGGAACCCTTTGGACCTCCGGATTGTCACCTCACATTTCTCTCTTCCGCCTTGTTCCAAATTCCCACGATTCACACCCTTCGAACCCCTTCCGAGCAATCGCCAAGCCCCCAGGCCTATCTCCCGCCCCCAGCTTCATGTATGTCAATGATGTTCGGCTTGCGGCATTGGTATCCAAGATGGCGAAACTGGTAGGGGAGCGATGATGGGAATACCCGTCGCATCACTCCACCTTCTGTTCTTCCCCTCCGTGCTTCATCTTGCCTAATTCGACCTAGATTCCCTCAAAACTTCTCGGCCTTACTTGATACTAACCCAAGAGCCCCATAGCACTACAGAAGCCCGCAAAAGACACTGTAAATCGCTGTCGCTATCCCCGAGTGGCTTGGCCAGTGCAATTATCCGTAAAGTGGCCTGTACACCGCTTGAAACTTCCTCCCCTGGCCTCAATGCCTTTGTTGTCCATTTTGCCGCCTCAATCATAAGTTATCCCCCCCTCGGCGCCTCGGTATGTCCTCAGCCGTTACTACTCACCATCCGGACACTGACTTGCATCGATACGAGCCAAGATGCGTGGGTACCGTGCCCTCAACGCGAGGGCTAATTCAGAGTGCATGGCGTGTCGCCCCACCCAATTTGGCTCACATCTCTCACCCCAGAAGAACGTCCTGCTCTCAGAACTGTAGTATTTGGCAAGTAAGAAGCGTTACGGTTGCTTCACATACTGTCAAGGTCATACGGTAGTACCTTACCTTACGTACGGAGTATGTACGCACCGCTCCGGGGAGGCGCCAACTTGGCATTCCAGTAAACACTGCCGGGTAGGTATGCTTAGAATTGATAGATATAATAATTAACTTAGACTCAGTCAATGGTGTATGATCACTGTTACTATAGGGCGAAGAAAGTTCACAGTTTTGTCAACGATCGCCTGCATTGCCGTTGTGATCTCCCACGCAAGCCAAGCGGCTTTCGCTGCATCTGAGCCGAGGAGATTATACAACTCGAGTACATCCTCGACGTATTTCGTACCATCTGCGCTTCTCTAGCTTTCCCCGCCTGTTCCCCTATATCGCCTATCGGTCCCTCCATCCCGGTTTACCTTTAACTTACCAACTACGAGTCGGTCAAGGAGCCTGATCCGCCGCTGTACGCAGAGTATCATCGGCCATCCCCACGATCTTGGATCTCCCTTTTCCGGATGCCGGTCCGGAACCCGATCCCTCTTCCGTGCGGGGGGGCTTGCTTGCGACTTCCCCCAATGTGGTGCAGTGCATACATGGGACTACGGCCCGAGGAAAGCGTTGATCTTTACACCGGCTAACAAGCCCGTCGGGAGAGTTAGCCTCACCGAGAGTGGGAAATCTCGTTATCGAGTATACCCCTTGATGTTAACGGCTAGCCGGTTACTTAGGCGAGCCTGACAATGCAACCACCCAGACAGACAGCCTCTCAAGAGGTATGCCGATCTGCTCTTTACATGGTGTGGTGGCATAGGGATTGGATTTGACTGGCTCGGAATTCGGCCAGAACGAGTGGCACAGAAGGACAGAAGGTAGGTCTTGGTGGTCGACAATGTGGATTTTTCTATGTATTCTTGAGTTCATCTTCAGGACGTTCCGTGTATTTAGGTATGATGCCTCTGAGAAGGACCTTCAAAGGACATTTCCCATGATAATGAGTAGTTATACGGGCGATCATCTTCCATAGGCTTGCAGGTGTGAAACTCCATACCTTGGATTCAACGTACAAAGTCCTCATAGCATGACGTGCACAGGAGAATGGCCCTTGACACAGGCGGAAATTGAATGACCGTTGCCGCTCTCAACCTCTCAGGATGCCCTTTCGCTAGAGAGTCAATCACGAGACTTCCCAAGTCTTTTAACTGTTTTCTACCTTTCCTCGTCTCTGGTGTGCAAATCATAGGTAGGCTACCATGGTAATACACCCCACTCGAATCCGTATTTCTGATCATGGCAAGACGCTAGCCAATCTCAAAGCAGTCGACCAAGCACTGCTTTGGCTGATCTTCAAATATAAGAGATGGGGAAGAGACATGATGAATATGATCTTGTTTTTGCGCTTCTTCAGATGGCGCCACATAGGACGTTTCTGGTATCAATTGAATGGGAGTTTGCGTTTGTTTCCTGCAGACTATTGCAACTTTGTACACGTAGTAGTAACGCAACTAAAAAGGACAGCAATTACTATAAAATACTCGAGTTTGTAATAGAGAAGTAGGTGTAAAAAAAAACGGACTTGAGATTCGTCCTTATTTTCACCTGTCATTTTTGCCTCGCAAGACGCCTCAAACAGTCGGGAATATGTCATAAGAGGCAAAAGGAACCAATCCGTGGTTCGAACGCGGGACTCTTGCAGAACATTCATGGAATCCATAGCAAGGATCTTATCACTCGACCAATCGGTCTGGTTATTCCCTTCTTCTTGTTGAAATAATCTCAACTGTAATCGAGTCAATATGGAATGATCTGTAGTCGGAATGAGATGGAAGGTGCGAAGTGGAAGGCTTGGTGGCTGTGTGTCGAGTCACCCGGCAAGAGCGGCTGCGGAAGGACCTCACTTGAATTTACAACGGGGGAAGGCAACGTTACCTAGGCTACCTTATGCGCCTGGATTGGGAGCTATTAAAAATTGAACAGTTTGAATTCCTTCCACCAAAGTAATATCAGGGAATTGCTAGGAGGGCAAAATATACTGGCCACGCAAGTGCCCGTCACCTTCCCTCGGGGACGGAGTCTCCCTTGAGAGGTATCGGATTTGTGGCAGTAAGGTGCTTCCTTGATATGACTCTCGCTTGCAGATGCTGCGGACGAGCCGCAACTGCATTATTTATAATAGGGCCTCAGTCGGTCAAGGGAAGCTTACGGCGGCTTGTTCTTGACAATTAACATTGATACGTGAGGGCAACCTGGAGACTGCCTAGGCCAATACCTTCCATAATCCACCCATGACTGGATTACCTTCCAGCAGGGGTTCTTCGTGCTTCACATATTCCCACGTTTAGGATGTTCCATCTGTGTCTCCCAGCTTGTCCTCCTTCATCAACTTTGGCTCCCACTTCTCAAGACGTGGCTGTGTCTATAGAGCGTTGTCTCGCAAAGCCGCTATCCATCCGAGGACATCCTGTAAGTCCTTGGTATCCATAAGAACCTGCATCACCACTGACTTGACTCTTTGGGGAACTTGCGTCTGCTTCCGATCTCTCCATTCCCGTGCCACCTCTCCTTCACATCCCCTAGACTATAGCCATGCGAGAGCTCCCTCCTCTACAACTCGACGGCATCGAGGCGGAGATGGAAAACGGGAACGCACCACCTGATACTTCGAAGAGCTCAGACGAGCCCAATCAGCCTTCGTTCCGGCCCCGCTCGAAGACTCAGAAGCAACACCGGGCTAGATACCGCTTTCTCACTCCCTCAGAATGGGCTATCGTTGCTCATGGCATCGGTGTTGTCAATGACACCGAAGGACACACTGCTCTTCATCCTTCCTGCTGGTATTACCCACCTAAAGGTATCCCCAATGGCCTGTACCGAGATGTCATCTGGCATCGGACCAAGTACTTCTACATGTACCACGGCATGAGCTCCATTCGATGGGTTGCCTACATTCTACAAATCATTCTCGGAGCAATCCTGACCGCAATCGGTTCAATGTCTTTCAAGAACGGCACCCCCATCACCATAATTGCGGCTACGAACACTATCAATGCTGGAATACTCGCACTTTTGCACAATAGCGGACTGCCTGACCGTTACCGCTCCGACCAGGCGGAGTTCGATGAAGTCGAAGACTACCTCAAGCAGATTCTCGACACTGGTGTTGTCCCCGAGAATATGTCTGTCGACCAAGCTCTCGTCCACTGCTTCGGTCTCTACCATGAGGCTAAGAAAACCGTAGCGGCAAACATCCCAGCAACTTACACTCCCAGTTCGGTACTTGGAGCTGGCCAGCAGATTGGCGAACCGCAGAAACCCGGCGCATCAGGTCCGGCGACACCCAACGCAGCCAGCTCAGTCATTGCTACCAGACTTTCAGTGGCATCACCAAAGACAGCCGAGGCACAGGCTATCGAAGAGAAATGAGAAGGCTTCTTTAAATAACAATGAGATGACGGGCCTGAGAGAAGTTTCTATTATCCATTGAACTATGGTGATAAGCAGGGATAATGAGGCACGCCGTACTTGTGGCAATTTTGGCAGGGTCTTCGTAGCAGTAAATGAGACAACCCTTATATCCCAGTCGGAGTGGTGTGAGGTGAAGGAGAAGGTCAAATGTGCATTTTCTAGATCCCATCGCGTGTCCCTTTGACACTGTTGGTTGGAGGTGACAGCGGCGGGATTCTCGAAGCAAAATTTCGGATTACAGTATGACGACGACGATAAAATAGAGTGTTTCGACTGAAAGAATACATATACTACATGCCCTCCAAGCCTTAGCAAGGATGCTGATATCTTACATACAAGGATATTGCTTCTCGTACATGCCCTTATTATTTCGAAGCACTGCTCCCTTGTGTGCTGTAGTCATCCCCAATTGATGCCCAGAAACCGGACGCCTTTCTTTCCGGAACCTGTCGCAGTGTCTGCGTTTTCGAGGTAGTGTCTCTGATGTCCCCTGACATCAACATACAGATACTTGTATTCAAACTCGCCGGAGCTGGGTGTCTTGATCATGTGCAGGTAAACCACGCCCCTGTTGAGCGGTCCCTCGACATGGAAGTGCATCAGCATATGCTCATGACCTCGCGAATCCGTGTTGGTCGTCGAGCTATTCAAGTTAAACTTATATAATCCAAGCGATGAAAGAAGCGACATACGCGATGGGACGAGCTCGCCGCCACTTGTTATACGTTTCTTCGCCATGGCAAACGATCTTCTTCGAGTCTCCCAGCATTTCGATGCATTTTGGGTCGGCTTTGATCTTGTCGACAACTCGGTTAAAAATGGCCGTTTTACTGTCCGGCGAGAAAACATCTGTCCACAGAACATACGCCACTCCGCCCTGTTGGACCACCACAATCGTTAGTTCTTAGTTGCGGCGGGGTACAAGTCGTGTGACTTGCCGTCACTGCGATACCAGCCAGAATCAACCCAAAGTTGAAGGTCTGCTGTGTCGCCCTAGCTGCCTTTTCTCCCCCAGAGAGTTGCGACCAAGGGACTGAACCGTTGTCGTTGAATGGCGTAACTTTCTTCCGTTTCGAGCTGGTCGTCGAGGTCGTTCCGAGACCATACTGGGTCGCGTAGCTTCGCTGGAGTGGCAGAGGTTGGAGCCGGGGCGCAAGACCCAATCTTGTAGTTGCGCGGATCGCGATCGCACATGTATTCGTCTTCATCATGGTGGTTCGGCGTCAGCCATCGTACAACCACAGCGGCAGGGACGGTATTGGCGAAGAACTCGGCAGTCGAAAGCTGGAGCTCCCCATGTAGCTGGTCTGGGCGAGCTCTGCAAAAGTCCCTTGACCGCCCTTGGCAGAATCACTATTGCTAGCCCACTGTGGGGGAATGGGGCTAGCCGTTTTAGGCTTAGCTCTCTGGCTACATGCCACTTCACCCAAGGGCGGCGACTGCCTCCTGAACTTTTGGCCACGAAATTCAGATAACTCCGCTCCCTGCTTCGCTCTGGCTTGCGCATCTTTCTGTACCCGCAACCTGCACCCTCTTCCACTCCCTTTGATATACGGCCCTCGCAACGGTTGCGCTTTCAACCTTAGGATCAGAAGCAGATAACCGGGTTGCCACAAATACCGTCACGATGGCTGCACTCGCTTCCAAGCAGCAGTCGCTCAAGATCTTTGAGAAATTGAAGACTAAGCCTGCGAACAAGGTATGCCCAACGGCCTGCGACCCTTTGTGCCCAAAGTTGTTGTGCAGTGCTGATCAATTTGCGCACATCAGATCTGCTTCGATTGCGGCGCCAAATATCCGACATGGACCTCAGTTCCCTTTGGCATTTACCTCTGCCTCGACTGCTCGTCTAACCACCGAAACCTCGGTGTCCATATCTCGTTTGTACGATCCACCAACCTCGACCGTACGTACTCGATAACCTTCCATCTTCCCCTCCTTGACTGACCTCTATGATAGAATGGCAGTGGGATCAGCTGCGCGTTATGAAGGTTGGCGGCAATGAGTCGGCCACCAAGTTCTTCCAGCAGAATGGAGGTACTGCGGCCCTCAATAGCAAGGACCCCAAGACAAAGTACCAGTCCAACGCTGCTACCAAGTACAAGGACGAGCTAAAGCGCCGTGCGGCAAGAGATGCTCAAGAGTGCGTCAAAATCCGTCATCATTGGATACCGGGCAAGCTAATGAAACAGGTACCCCGGCGAGGTTGTCATCACCGAAGCCACCGACGCCGACACCTCGACCCCTGCCGGCGAGCCTGACGATGATTTCTTTTCCTCTTGGGATAAGCCCTCTATTAAGAAGCCCACGCCTCCTATTTCCCGCACTGCGACTCCTCCGACCGTCGGCCGAACTCCCTCGCCCTTCCTCAACGCCAACAACGGTGCCGGCAAGGACATTGCACGATCCTCCTCGCCCCTGTCCAAGGCTGAAGGCGACAACAAGCCCGGGACCGGTCGCGTAACTACCTCTGCCGCTCTGCGCAAGACGACAACCTCCACCGGTCCCCGTAAGGCCAACATCTTGGGAGCCAAGAAGGCCCCTAAGCTTGGAGTCAAGAAAGTCACAGCCGATATCATCGACTTCGACGAGGCTGAGAAAAAGGCCAAGGAAGAGGCGGAGCGCATTGAAAAGCTTGGTTACGATCCCGAGGCCGAGGAGGAGAAGAAGGCTGCCAAGGCGGATGCCGTCTCGGCTCCTATTCCCACCGCTCCCTCGGGTGGTTACGGATCGTCCAGCCATACCCGTCAAAAGTCTGACGCGGAGATGGAGCGCTTGGGCATGGGTGTTCGCAAGTTGGGATTTGGCATGGTTGGCGGAGCCAAGGGTACTGCAGCGCCCAAGAAAGCTGGGACTGGTGGCTTCGGTTCCGTTGGCCCCATCAAGGCTAAGACTGAGGGTAAGGAAACCGCCTTCCCGATTCGAATGTGCAACTGACAACAGTGCAGATGAAAGTGAGAACTACGCACGAAGCAAGTTCGGCGCCCAAAAGGGTATCTCCTCTGACGAGTTCTTCGGCAAGGGTTCCTTCGACCCCAATGCCCAGGCTGAGGCGAAGACTCGTTTGCAAGGGTTCGAGGGCGCGACATCCATTTCGTCCAATGCATACTTCGGCCGCCCTGAGGACGAACCGCAAGAGGAATATGGTGACCTCGAGGGCGCTGCCAAGGACTTCATTCGCAGATTCGGTATTACCGCTGGTGATGATTTGGAGAACCTTGGCCAACTAGCGGGTGAAGCCAGCCAGAAGCTGCAGGGTGCTATCCGCGCTTACCTCGGAAGCTGAGCGTTTCTAATGATACAGCAACATCACTGGAAAGGACAACGGAAATTGGGATTTCACTTTGCCATCGAGATATAGAAAGCGGCCATATTCCACGGTCTCCCCTCAATGTTAGAGGGGACCAATGTACGCCAGGAGAAGGTACGAAGCAGAACATTGGACAGCGGAAGGCGGAAGGCGGACACGAAAAAGGATACCTTGTGTGCTTTGCAACGGACTACCTATCGAGTGAGCCTGGGGTCTGGGTTCTGGGGGTGGAAGGGAAAAGACGCATGCTGGTAACTTTGATTTGATGCATCCCGGCATATGAGGCGTACAGACAGAGCCGGCGACGGGGAGTGATGACACTGCTTGTTGGTTTAAGTAATACATAAGTGTGAATGAATAGATTTGAGCTTCATCGTTGTACTCGCCTAAGCTCGGCTCTTTTTTGGCGTAGGGCAATTGATCGTCGCCGTGTTTGCGGCTGAGAACAGGTGGAGAGGCTGCTACTAGTGTATCCGCCCTCCGGTTGTCTAACTCTACTTTCGTAAGTTCGCATGGGAGGCGGCAGAAGCATGTGAAGTATCCACTCCGAGCCTAGTCTTTCAGGGTCCATCGTGTCAGGCGCGAGTGACTGAGCGAAACCAAACGACATGAGCGAAAGAGAGTGCGAGAACACGTTGCGACTTGACACGGCCGTTTCTTGACGTCCGGCATTATTACTGGCCAACGTAAAAAATCCAATTCGAATATGGAGGATATCGAGCACAGACACATTGGGTGTTCTTCTAGCCTTGCCTCTCCACTGCGTAACCTAAAACTTGGGGAGGTTTGGATGGCTTCTTAAGGAGTCGATTGGTAGTAAAATTCGATAGATCATTTCGTTATATGCTAGCAACCATCCATCTCAGGTCATTTGAAATTTACAAAATAAGAGCCTCATAACTCCAGGCCTTGGCAGGCCTAAGAGGCTTCCCCTGGCGCCGCCCAAAAAAATGCGACCAACGAAAAACATCCGCAATGGAAACATGAGCTTTTACAATTTACAACTTGGCAATCATCTTGTTGCCCTTCTGGAGCCATGCAACGGCATCGTTCACGAACTCGTCCATGACTGCCTTAGCGGGCTTCTTCTCGTTACACACGGCCGCGGCCTTGCCCATGAGGAAGGGGCGGAACTGGTCGAGGGCGTCATCAATGTCGACCTCGGCCGCGTTGTCGTCGCTGCTGCCCTGGCCGCTGCCCTCGCTGTCACCAGAGTTCATGAGCTTCTCAAGGTCGGCCTCGTAAGGAATGACACCCTTGGCGGTGAGCTCCTTGATCTCCTGCTGGCGCTCCGTCTCCCAGTTCTCGATATACGGGTTCTTGCGGACACGGAGGGGACGGCCGGTGAAGATGAGGGTCTTGATGTTATCGTCGTGTCCGGCAGTGCGGACGGCCTCCTTGTGCGCCTCGGGGGCACCGGCTTCGTCAGTGAGAATGAAACGAGTGCCAACCCAGACAGCACCGGCGCCCATCATGAGGGCAGCGGCCAAAAGCTGACCGTTGTGGATACCACCGGCAGCGATGACCTGAACGGGGCCATTGAGGAGAGGGCTCTTGGTGTTCTTGCACAGGTCGACGACAGCGGGGATAAGGACGGTGGTAGGAACATCACCGGTGTGACCACCACCCTCGCCACCCTGGGCGCAGATAATGTCGACGCCAAGGTCCAGGCACTTCTGGACATGCTTGGGGTGTCCGATCATGTTCATATAGACGATACCGGCAGAGTGCAGCCTATCGACGACGTGCTTGGGGGGAACACCGACGGCAGAGACGAAGAGCTTAGCACCTGACTCGATGATGATGTCGACGAGCTCATTCAACTTGCCCTTGGTGTAGTCATAGCTGAAGGACGAGTGATTAGCCTCGGTTACAGCTTGCAGATGTGACACATGCGCCCGCTTCTCCAGGAGAGAGACACAGGCTGGGGGTTCGGTGCTTACTTGGTTTTTCTGGCGCTGCCACCAACCTGGGGAAGAAGCAAGTCGACACCAAATGGGGCGTTCTTGTCAACCAAATACTCCTTGAGCTCTGCAATCTGCTCCTTAAGCATGTCTGGGGTGTAGCCAACACCGCCAATGACACCGAGACCGCCGGCGTTGGTGACAGCAGCGGCCAGCTTGGGGCCGGCGGCGACGTTCATGCCGGCAAGCAAGATCGGGTGCTTGATCTTGAAAAGATCGGTGATGGGAGTGCGAATTTGCTCTGTTGTCGAAGGGAAACATGTCAGCAGCTGCTCTGGCGATGTGTCGCATGTGACAGCCAAGGTCCGGATGGTGAGATAATGACTTACGAGGTGACGCCATTGTGTCTGCTTTACTGGATGTGATAAATGCTTAAAGGATCTGGGTATATTGTATCGTGAAGCTATACAGAGAAGGGAAATTAATCTGGGAAGCAGAGGTGTAGATGGTGGGGAGAGTAGGTAAAGCCTGTGGAAAAGATGAGATCTGGCAATCGGCGGTTTAAAGGGCTGCGGTGGTAGCAGGGTTCGGCATTAAAGGCAGCGTTCGGCATCAAGGAGGCGTAGTTTCTGGGGAAGGACCGAGGTTCGCCTGTGACCTCAGCAGCTAGGCCCATTTAGGCAGTAAGGACCAGACCAGCGGGGTGGATCTGGGGAAGAGATGCCGAGGGCCAGCTCCACGAGCGGGACAATTTTACAAGGGGGGCAGCAGCACTGCAGCAGCAAGGAAAAGCATAACTCGTTTTATGCAACCCACAGTGATTCATCGATCGGACTCGGACCGGTGGCCTCGGTCTGAGCAGCACTTACGATTACTTGGAGATGGAGTCGTTGGAAGGTCTCGTGAGGGCCGGAAAAAGCGTATGACTCTCACGCTCCCTCTCCCACTTTCGGACACGGTCGTTTCTTCCCATCCAGACGGGGAACAGCGAGTGCGACGGGCAACAGTTGTAGCTTGTGCTGACAGCGGGTCTGAGCACCGAGTCAACCATGTGCTTTCTCCGTTCCAGAACGCTTGGAAATGAGCCCGTAAACTCTGTTCGAATCATGTCATGATTTAACCACCTTCCAACCTCCGTTGCAACCATTAGCAGCATTTTAGACTACGAAAGTTAGCAGTCGAGCGAGTATGGATGTCTGCACCTCTTTATCAATCTGGTACCCTATCTTAGACGACGAAACCCCGTCTTCCTTGCCTATTTTACCTTAGCTTACCCATCAGCCCATCCATGATCCAACCCCTCCAAAGCCACTTTACGCGCCTTTCTACGTCTTACCTAATCACTGGATCACAAGGGACCACCGCGCCCGACCCTCATTGGCTGCGAGAAAAGATTCTCTCTCCTTAGTGACCCTCAACACACAAAGACACACCAACCCATTGGATACCTTGCTGGACTGTGGGCTTTTGCCGTCGACTTTCTCCCTCCCGTCGTGATGAAACCCCTAAACCCCCTCCGTCACCAGCCCTCCCTCCTTTCACGAGCTTGCGCCCTAGCACGGAGCAACAATGCGCGTCGCCAGCCCCTAACGCCGCGACTTGTCTGGTTCCAGGCCACGACGGCATCGGCACCATCCTGCATAGCCTCCTCCTCGCGCACGTTCTGCACTTCTTCGTCGCTAGGTAGTCCCTCCACCCACCATTGTGCCACCGCACTCACCCACTCCCGCTCTCGGCCAGCAACAACCATGCCCTCCCGCCGGACTCCGTCGCCGGTCCTGTCCGCCTCCGCCACCGGCACCGCCCAGACCCGGTCGGCGTGTGGATGCGCCTGCAGCGGCGGCGGTGGATGCGGCAGCGGCGCTGCAAAACTCAAGGGTCCGAGCACGGCCTACATTGCACTCGGCAGCAACCTCGGCGACCGCGTTGCCTGGATTGAGCAGGCCTGCGCCGAGATGGATCGCCGCGGCATCAAGGTGAAGCGCACCAGCAGCTTGTGGGAGACGGAGCCCATGTATGTGTTAGATCAGGATAGGTTCGTTAATGGAGTCTGTGAGGTTAGTAACACTCATTCTTTGAACTCTCCAATCATGGCTTTTGGTTTCATGTGTGATATTTATGCACTTCTTGAAGTGTATATGCCAATTGACTTTTGACTGATTGGATGACACAGGTCGAGACTGAACTCGAACCATTGGCTCTTCTTGACCAACTCCAGGATATTGAGCTCACTCTAGGTCGTAAGAAGTTGATTGACAAGGGTCCCCGCAACATCGACCTCGATATTCTCATGTATGGTGACGAGAAGATTGAACATCCTCGTCTCAACGTTCCTCATATCGGTATCCCTGAGAGAGAATTTGTCTTGCGACCTTTGGCTGAGTATGTTCTCTCAGTCGTGATCTCAACAACCACAACTAACACCCATCCAGACTCATTCCCGAAAAGCCTCTCTACGCATCCAACCCCTGGAAACTCACTTTGGACTACCTCAACGAGCTTCCCCCGTCAGCGGCGCCTCTCTCTTCGCTAACCCCCATTTCTGCGTCTCACTTGCCCCTCGCCGCCCTCACATCCAATCGCCAAACCCACGTCATGGCCATTGTGAACGCCACTCCAGACTCTTTCTCTGACGGCGGCGTCCACAACCCCCAAAACCTCGTCTCGACCCTAAAGTCCTTCGCCGCGGCCGGCGTGACCATCGTTGACGTCGGCGGCTGCTCCACCGCGCCCGGTCGTCCCGAGGTCCCCGCCGACGAGGAAGTCGCCCGTGTCCTCCCCGTCATCAAGCTCGTCCGCGGCCTACCAGAGCTCGCCCACCTCGCCGTCAGCATCGACACGTACCGCGCCTCCGTCGCCGAGGCAGCCGTCGCCGCCGGCGCCGACATCATCAACGACGTCTCGGCAGGCCAGCTCGACCCGGCCATGATCCCCTACATGGCCCGCAGCAACCGCACCGTCTGCCTCATGCACATGCGCGGTACCCCGGCGACAATGAACTCCATGACGGACTATCCCGACGGTCTGATCCCCACCATCGCCCGCGAGCTCCTCGAGCGCGTCGCCGAAGCGGAGGCGGCGGGCGTGCGCCGTTGGCGCATCATCCTCGACCCAGGGCTGGGCTTTGCCAAGACCGGCGCCCAGAACCTAGAGATCCTGCGCCACATGGACGAGCTGCGTTCCTGGCCAGGTCTAGAAGGCTTTCCCTGGCTGATTGGCTCCAGCAGGAAGAGCTTTGTCGGCAAGGTCACTGGCGTGTCCAAGCCTCAGGAGCGTATATGGGGCACGGCGGCCACGGTCGTCTCTGCTGTCCAGGGAGGCGCGGACATTGTCAGAGTTCACGATGCCGTCGAGATGTGCCAGATTGTCAAGATGGCGGATGCAATCTACAGACACTGAACGACTTTGGGGCATTGGGAATAGAAGGAGCCTAAGAATAGATTATGTACAACAATTGGGAATTAGCGATGGGCATAGACTTCCTGTATGATAAGACGGCAACAAAAGCTTTGATTTCATGAGTCAAGTTCTTCGACTTGGGTGCTTCAAATAACACCGTGTAAGCAAGCTCTCTGGAACGACAGACAAGATCCTAGACAAGCTGCGAACACTTCCAATAGTAATTAAGTCTCAGCAATGATCAAGAAAGGCCGTCTAACTTACCGAGCTCTGGGGATTCGTTTAGAGGCCCAGAAAGTCTGGCTAGTTACAAGTCCTCCTCCCGCGGACCAAGCTCGATACTCTTATAGATCGCATCCAGCATATCATGCCTGGTCAAAGCCACCGGAAAGTCCTGGGCCTCTCCGGGCTCTCCTGCAAACGCTTCCCAGGCCTTACCCGTGTTGTGCGAGAATTCCTTGGCTTCGGGCACCTCAAAAGCCTCCATCCCAGATCCGGACTCGACCTTGACAAACTTGATCGTCGGCGGGAACCACAGCATGTTCCCCATCGGGCCCTCGATCAGGATGGTACCCTTGACACCGGTAGTTTCCCAAAAGAAGTTCTTGTCGGCCTGGGTCATGCCACCCTGGCATATGGCAGTCGCGACCCCGCCGCCAGGAAGGCTTATCATCACGGAGAGATGGTTATGTAACGTCTTCTTTTACGTGCCTTTTGGCTTCCCCTCCGCGTCGGTCACCATATCTCTGGTCGATTGTTAGCCAAAGTGGCCTGGATACACTTGAAAGACACACCAGGTTAGCACCGTTGGCGATGTTGGTGCCATACAGAGCCGCTTCCGGGAACGTAGCTCCGAACCAGGGGCTGGTGAACAGCATCATTGTCTGGAGAATGTCGTCGAAGTCTCCGCGGCCGACGAGCTCCTTGGCCTTGAGGGTGGCCGGGTCGTGGCGGCCTCGACGGCGGCGGCGTGGAGGTAGACCACTATGTGTACAGCCACCAGGTCGACGTTCGGGTCCGAGACGAGTTCGCCCGTGTCGCCATATGCTTTGTTGTCTTTGGCGAGCTTGTGCATCTCGATGGCTTTCTAGGCTGTCTCTTTTGAGCTGTTCTGAAGTGCCACAAGCTTGTAATTATCGGATTTGGCAAAGGAAGGGAGATGCGCAGCAACAGCCCACGACTATTCACTAACCATCATGAGCTATCTCTGTTCAAGACTGCAAAACATGGCTACTTACGGTCAAGATGATCAGCAGTTGAAGCCAACCTTGGTTATTTGGGGTGCCATTTGGAATAGTGAGCCGTATTCGTTGGGGCAATTGAGATGGCCATCTCCGCTTATCTTTGTCAACTTTGAAGACGGAGGCTATGCATGCGCCGCACTCTCCGAGGTGGAAGCCCACCCATAAAGGCATGTAGCAGAAGTCGTGCTCGTAGCAGAAGGAGCCACGACCTGC